TTACATAAGGACCATTTCATATTATCATTACACATTATTAAGTCCACATGTCATAATTTTATTGGTGGTTATAAGTGACATGTAAGGATTGATGATAAAAAGACTACTTTTCCCTTGAATTCGACAGAATAATACACGGAATCTAATGACAAAGGGTTAATTAGCTTATGTCAAATATTTCAAGGGGTTAATTTACCAAAACAAATAGTTCAGGAGGTCAATTTCAAATGGAGTAAGAGTCCAGGGGGTCAAACCACAATTTATGTTTTGATAAATCAATTTCGACTCGATATCAAATTTGTAAGTGTACCAAACGCAAGAATGTAGCTCTTAGGTTATGAAAAAAGTTGGGAGTAGTCAATTTACTTATAAGCACAAGTAAGGCCCCACTTTTCTAGGATGTAGGATTCACTTTAAACACGCCTCCTTACATGCTGTTGTTGAGCTTCACATGCGGCGCAATATGCTCTATACAATGAAGAAAGTCGAAGTTTCACCATAAAACTAATTGTCAATATGGGGAGTATCCCAATTACGTATAAGCACATCTAAAGTCTCTCATTTCCCTAATATAAAATTGATACTCTTAACAAGTTTCAACTTCATTACTGTTTTTAATATTGCAGGCTCAATTATTTAGGAGGGTGCAAAGTTCATCGCGGAAACTATTTCATTACCTTTGTTACTTACACATACTACAAGCTTGAGTAATAACTTATTCTCCAGAGTGACCTCTCTTCTTGAAGGAATGTCTAATTTGAATATTTTGCACATTAAGTGTGAGGCAATTTTGGTAGCGGAGACTTTCTTGCTTTGATCTTTTTATGACATGACCAGAGGGGCGAATAGTGAAAAAAATCGAGGTTTCACAATCAAACCAATTAGTAATATGGGGAATAGTTCAACTTACTTATAAGTTCATGCAAGGTCATTCCTCTCATCAATGTGGAATTCATTCTCAACACACCCCCTCATGTGGAGAGAATTTTCAAGCTTGACACATGTGATAGGATTAAAAACACACCACAAAGTAGCACACAAATGTCCTATTGATTTTCCTTATTAAAGCTAAGATTTGTCAATTGTAGCATATGAAAATAAGGGTCTTTCCCGCAGAAGATTGTTTTATCTAACTACTTAAAATGTCAAAAAAACCGGTTGTTGTCCCTACTGACCAGCCACCGAAAAATAATTATTAGACTGACTTACACTAATCTAAAGTCTACGAAATTTTATAAGCAAACACTAGCACACAGAGCTACACTTCTACAAATTTTTGGGATTTTTAGAGTTGATTTTCTATTTAAATTAAATCGAACAAAAACAGGACAGAAATAGATATTAAGTAGCTCACAAATTAAGAAAAACGAGTTAGGGGTATTGCTATCCACCACCAAATAATCATGCAAACATGTTATGTTTCATTCAAATTCCTTTTATTTCCGGATGAAGATGCTCAAGTTGGCTCAATGTTAGAACTCAACCTATTACTCTTTCTTACGTAGTATGTTAAGAGAATGACGTTTTCAACTTAACTTAGTCCCTAGCATGCAATCTAGAATGACGTGTTCATAGATTTAACAAATAGAAATCATTAAGAACGAAAAGAGTTTGAGTCATCACAAGGCATCGTAAGTACTGGCGTTGTCTTACTTATCCTAGAAATTGGTTCACATGTTAATCGCAATTAACAAGTACTACTCTAGAATATATGTAGGTCCTCATTCGACAAGGGCATGCACACACATATTCATAGCATTAGAATCCTAGATATGCTTACTATGTATGCATCCATAGAAAACAAATAAAAAATTCATCAATGAGACAAATAGTGAACCAATTTTCATCCATTCATAAAAGTAATTCAACAAAATGTCATAATAAAATTGCAATCATATTCGGGGCTTCAAAACAGCCCCTAACTACTAAAAATTTAGTTACGCACAATCCTTAAGTTAAAACAAAAGATAGACATGAGTTTGAGAAGATAGAACCGAAAGAAATCGACCGAGGCCTCCTCCTCCCTTCCTTCCTTCCCCAATGCTACTTTTAAACCCATTCTTGCTGCATCATTTTCTTCTCCTTAACTCACCCACTAATAGCCATTTAGTGATGACAATAAGTGAGAGGAAATGTGGTAAAACAATTGTAACACTTTAGGTAGCCTTTATGCCAATTATTCCCTCTTAATCCTCATCTTTAATTTCATTCCCTTTTATATTTGAAGAAGTGTCAGCTGACTTGTTCTTGGCTGCATTAGTTTTGGCTGTTGGTGTTTTCATTGCAGTTACAAACTGCTCAGCCTCTTGGTAACCTTTCAATGTTAAAACGGCCATAACTTGTTTTAGAAAAATGATATTAATAATCTGCGAAATGCTCCAGAAAATAGACATCCGTAGGTTTCCAAGAATATAAGGCTCATTCTCTAATTCATTTTGAGTTGTTCGCAACTTGCTTCCAAAGTCAGCTGATCTGCACAGGCAGTTTTGACGAATTTGTTACTAAAAATCCTACTTGTGCTATTTTTCTTTTATTTGCTTGACAAATCCCACAAAACACAAAAACAAAGTAAATAGCTCAAAAATATAAGGAACTAACTAAGAAAAGACAAGTGAATTTGATGTAATATATATATAAATACGAGCTTATCAACATGGGCAACGCAATTTGGGTGACGTCCATCATCTCATCAATGTGAGATTCATTCTTAACATGCCCCTCATGTGTAACGAATTTTCAAGCCTAACATGTGAACAACACAACTCGGGTGACGTGGAGCGCATGTGGTTGTTGAGCTTCACACATAGAACAACCTACTCTGATACCATGAAGAACGTTGAGGTTCCACCATAAAACCAATAAGCAATATAGGGAGCAGCCTAACTTAATTATAAGTCCATGCAAGGTCCATCATCTCATCAATGTAGGATTCATTCTCAATCATATAAAATATAAACGTTTTCTCCAAACGATGAGCTTGCTCAAGAATATACCTTGCTAACTCCATGGCGTTAAACCCATTGGAAAGCTCTATTGTTACGGAAATATATCCTATCCAAATCTCTTCCAATAAGGTCACCGAATTAAGTGATCCGAACCTTTAAATTTTTATCAACAACCCACCTGTTTTGATCCCTTAAAAGCTATAATAATTTTTTACCGTTAGATGAAATTTCAAAGGTACAGATCACTTGATCCGGTGACCTTGGTGGAAGAGATCCGGAGAGAATCTCTTTTCTATTGTTACCTCCTTTGGTTGAACAGTAAAATTCAAATTTTGGAATTTCCAGAATTTCCTATTACATCCGCGTGTCTGAAAACACAAAAACCAAAACATCAGAACAAAAAACATTCCAAAAATACCGGAAAAATAGTAATACGAATATAAGCTATAAAGCAAGAAAGTGCTAGTCCCCTGAACTGTACCAGTCTACATTTGTTTTGGTGTGTGCGCACGTGCGTGTGTGAGAGAAAGAGAGAGAGAACCAACTTCAACTTTTAACTTTAGGTTTATGTGAGAGTGAGGTGGGTAGACTGTGCAATGTATACATTCAAATTAGAAAGAAACGTATCATCGCCCAGATCCATTTTCTAGGGATCTTGAAAATTCTGTGATCGTGATTATTCATCGTGAGGTCAGGAATTATTTAAAATTTAAAATTTAAAATTAAATATAAATAATACCTAACGAAAATTAACCGCACGATATACGATGAACAGCTACGATCACGGATCCCAAAAAAAAGGATCCGTCAGAAGTGATACCAATGCTGGGACCACCGACGGAACCAAGTACAAGACTCCGGTGGACTATAGCATAGGGAAAGTTTTAGTTCTTTAGGCTTAAAAAATACTAATCATTTGGGCTATTTCATGATTTTTAATTGTTGCAGCCCATCTATCAAATGAAAAGTCTAAGGCCCCGTTTGGGATTGAGGTGATTTTAAAAAAAACCACTGTGAAAAAAAACTGAGGGTCATTTTTGTGTTTGGTAAACTGAAAAAAAAGGTTTATTTTGGAAGCTGCTGTTAGAATAAGCTGAAAATCAAAGGAAAAGCTGAAGCTGCTATTTGCTGCTTTAAAAAAAAACCTGTTTTAAAAAAAAACCTGTTTTTTCAAAGCACACGGAGCTACAGTGCTCCTTTAATGAAAAGACACACTATCATCCTGCTTTTTTTTTTTTTCCAAAAGCACTTTCCCAAAAAAGTTTACCAAACACTCTACTGGCTTTATTTCACAGCCGCTTATTCTCACAGCAGAGCCGCTTATTCTCACAGCAGCTTTTTTTCAAAGCACAGCAATACCAAACCAGCCCTAATTCTAAGAGCTGTTAGTGTTAGTAAGTATAAAATAAAATTAATTTAACCAATACTAAATTTAATAGTAATAACTTAAAACTTCTATACTTGTTTTACTTTATTCATTTGAAATTTTAAAGACTAGAAGTCTAGAATAAAAACAATAGAGTTTCAGGTTTATTACATAACTTTATGTAGTGAACAAAAAAAAAATTAAGCATTTGATTTTGTAAAAATAATTTGAACTTAGCTCACCCACCGAATAATTCTTGACTCCGCCATTGACTGGGACTAGGCCATCACTCAAGCTTGTTACGCGCAAACTTAGCCCACCCATCGAATATTTTCAAGCCCATATCATGCTTCTAAATTCATTTGTCAAATACGCGAAGTTCGTCCCTCTCCTCCGCCCATCTACCCTCCACCCTACCCTGCACACGGGCATTACCAACTTTGTACTTTAAGAATACCAAATTAGCTATTCCGGTTATCGGCGTGTTATAATCCCACAGCCCAGATATGTTTCGTGTAACATCGATCCTTCGACAGATCCCAAAACAAAAGGCCAAGCGTTTTCTCTCCTCAATCGCCTGTATGAGAGTTTCCGCCCCTAATCGCCGACCAATAGGTCTCCGTTGAAACCAAAAAACTATTGTTAACCTAGTAAAAGATAATCGCAATATTATACAATAACATACATGGACTAGTAACGAAAAACCTTGGTACTTATTAAGCTTAACAAGCACAACACAGTAAGACTACAACCAAACTGCATCCATCAACATCCGGACCATGGTTTTGAAGTCACAACACATTATTTCTTTACATAAATATTAAACCTGCCTAATTCCCTCTTTTCATTTGCTTTGAATTCCTGAAAGACAACTCTGGCAGCAGATTTCCGCTTACTTTCATTTACCACCTGAAAAAGAGTCGAATGCTCGGGCGAATGAAGTATGACCATTTCCTTCAAATTCTTAGCATCCTCGAGCATATACCTCGCTAACTCCATTCCATTGTTCCCGCTAGAAAGCTCTATTGTTGCCTCCTTAAGATGATCAATAAAAGCCAAGTTTTGAGATTTCCAGAATTCCCTATTAAATCCACATGCCTGTACCGGAAACGAGCAAATAAATTAAAATTTATTATAGATTGTTACATCCCCAACCCGAGATGAGGCGTGACAAAGATATTGAGTAAATAACTTGACATTCCTCTTGAACTGCACTACCTACATATGATTAGGGTTATACATCGCTCTGGAAACAATAATTGAAGCTCTAAAGATAACATTACTTAGATCACAAAAACAATCTTAGAAGAGACCAAGATCAATATTTTTGCGATGGACCAATATCCTAAACCCTTGGAACAACTAATTTTAGTTACCATTGCTGGGACACATCACATAGTAAACTACGTTGTATTCGTGTGTGTATGAGAGAGAGAGAGAGAGAGAGAGAGAGAGAGAGAGAGAGAGAGAGAGAGTATAACTTACTTTAGGTTTCTGGATGAGAAAGGATGGGTCACACTTTACATACAAAGTTTTCAAATTGGGCATTCCTCTCAGAAGAGAGACCATTGTTGGGACCATGTCATCAACCAAGCTCTCAATATGCACACCCAGGTAAGATATATCATCAAACAGTGCAGGCATAGAACCTTCCCTCAACAGAACCTGCAATATTATAAACATGAGAGGCAGAGTCTTGAAATAGAAAATGCAGAGCATCCAGAACACTATAAGTAAAAAAGACAAACAAAGTTGAGCGGCTTGAGCCAAGGGCGACCCATTTCCAGAATTCATGCATTGATTTCAAAAATAAAACTTTCCACACCAGTATAATTTTTCATTCCACTATGCCACACTTGGTTTTGGTTTCTAAGTTTCAGAAACATAAACTAAACATCCCTACTATTTCCATGGTATAGAATCATAGTGAAGATACATTCCTTGCAACATCCTTTCAAAGATCCAAAAATGACATAATCTACACAAATTCATAGTGCAAACCATCATGTTTTAGCTAAAAAAGAATCTCTCTAAAGTTTTACCTTGGCTGTCTCTCCGCTTAGAAGAAGGACTTTAACCCTGCGGATACTGCAAAGAAGCTCAAGTACATTGCCAAAGTCATTGTTATCTGCCTCATGGTTCAGAAAAATTTCAGCCGTTTCTAAGCACATAAAATTCCCAATATTTTGGTTATTCAACAAACTCCCAGTCCATTTCAAATACTTAAGATTTGGAGCAAAAACTTTGAAGGATCTGCTGCTAGGCGAATCAAATCTCCAGTTTATACGCATAGCTTCGAGTTTCTCACATGAGATACTAAGATGACAGAGGTCACTGTGAGAGGAAAACACAAAACTAAATGATTCCAAGGACGAGCTTTCAATGGTGATATTTTCTACTCGGACATGTTCAAGGTGTAATTCCTTAATCGATTTGCAAGAACACGAGATCCATTTGCAAAACCCCTCATCTATTGTAACATTTGTCAACCTTAAGTATTGGAGATTGGTGGAGTGAACCGAGGAGGGCACTGTAAGAATTTTATTGCAGTGCACCGATAAAGACCTCAAAGATCCACAAAGAAAGATGCAAGATGGTAACTCTAGTTCAGTCGTCTCAGGTATCCCCAACTCAAGATCAAGTACTTCAACATTGCACCTTACTGCCATATGAATCCATGTGACCACTCGGTAAAGCTCGTTATATAGACTTGCACCTTTTCCATAAGCAAGACTCCAACGAATACGAAACTGTTGTAATTTACTGTCCCTACGAAGAACCAAGAACCTATCCAAAGAATTCAACAGCTTAAATTGCTTACTGTAAGATGATTTATTCCAGTTGTTAAATTCATCAAAGTTCAAAGAGGGTGTTGACAAATGAAGTTCCCTACATCTTTTGGATACAGTGCCAAACCGAATGAGATCCAATATAGAGAGTAATGAAAGAATTCGATGTGCAACTTCATCTGGCATACTACTAAATCTATCGTTCGTGCGCTCAGGACAAGCTCCTTGAGCCTCTGAACTTGTAGTTGCCAATAACTTACTCTTATGTTCCATGATACTTGTTTTCCTTTCGCTTTTCTAATAATAACTTAGACCTGCAAGGATTAAGAACATGAGAATACAACTACGTAAATATACGACATCAACAGTACAAAACTAAGACCATTGTATTTTACGAACGATAGCGTTAGTGGGTTAAATAGTTAGTTGTTAGGGGAGAGGATAAGTGGGAATCAAACTCGCACCAAGGTGCATAGGCATCATTTCTTTTTGCCACTCCGTCTGCTAATTTAAACTCTACATTTATTTCTAACATGAACATAATTTTATCAATTTTCAAATTGTATCTTTGAGTGGTAAATATGAGACCCGCTACGACAACTAAACTGCAATACATTAGGAAACGACCGACATACCATCTGTTACATTCAATATCAAAGAGTTAAACTTTATATATACATATATTTTATGAAAATTGAATTATCTGCAACTAACCCTCATGGGTTTGCTGTAGGTTAACGAACCCAGAAAATTCTCAGCAAAAGATTGCATCTTTTCCCATTCGAATTCAAAATCTCCCAATATTAACAATTACCAACAAAAATTTGTTAAAAAAAAAAAGACAATAAAAGAATAAAAAACCTGATCGAAGTACTTAATAGCTTCGGATGAGTAAAGCTGAAGAATTTCGAAAGCGAAAACGGAGAAATGGAATAAAAAATGGCATGCAATTTTGGGGGTTGAAGGATCGGAAATCAATTCGTACCTACACATCCGGTGACGTCCAGACGGCGGAGGGTGGTTTCCAGACGGCGGAGAATGGCGTCTCTCTCAGCGGCCCGCCAGTCGATCTGATTTTGGTGTTTTGCTCAAAAGTAAAAGAAACAGTAAAACCTTAAAATGTTCGGGTATTGTTGAATACACTTTACATTTTAAATAAAATTAGAATTTGATAGAATTTATTAATAGACTTTAAAATTAGAATTTTAAAAGACTTGAAAAGTATAGTCAAATTAGAATTTTAAAGTATTTTAAATAATTTTTTAAAGTAAGAAGCATGCTTTGATGACATATGAGTGAAGAAAGAAAAAAAAAGTAAATTTTTGTACGAAATTACTTAATATACATGACGTTTTGTTTATGATATTTTCTTTCTTTTATTATAATGATATTTTCATTGGTTTTTACTAACGAATTGTGTTCTATTAATACGTAGTATAGATAAAAAACGAACATCAAAAGCTCGGTTAAAAGAAAATTTCCTAAACTATCCGCTTGTCATTATCTAATTGGGTATTGCAATTCTTTTGGTGCTCTTCTTCGGTTCCAAAGTATTGGGTTTGAACTGTAGTCTTATCAAAGGCCAATGAAAACTCTTTTTATTAAGTGACAAGGAGGGTTGAAGCCCAAAGACCAATATCTATCAAGAGTTGAGTAATTTCAACGAACAGAAAATGTCATACAACATATCAACATCAAGGCTTAGGTTTCAACATTAACTCATAAATAAATCCTTGTGAAATGAGATTTAAACCAAGCATCTCTACCGGTCACTTTACTCAACCCAGCTAACGCAGAACCAAACGGCGGAGTTCAGGCATTCCCTGCCTTTCCTTAAAGACAACTGTTGCAGAATTCATCTCCCTTTCATTTACCGTCCTCATAAGAGTTGATTGATTGGGTAAATAAAGTATGACCATTTTCTTCAAATTCTTGGCTTCCTCAAAGGTATACCTTGCAAACTCCAATTCATTGCCTCCATAAGGAAGCTCAATTGTTACCTCTTCAAGCTGATTAATACAAGCCAGGTTTTGGGATTTCCAGAATCTCCTACTAAACCCGCTTGCCTGAAGAAAGTTAACATGCATGCAAACCAAATGAGAATTTCTTAGAGAGAGAGAGAGAGGGAGAGAGGTAAAAGTAAATGTGAGTAAACGTGGTTTCACTTACCATGGTAACTTCCACTATCCTAAGAAGCAAGGGTCGGAAAGTTTTGGAGCGTCTATATTATCAAATGGTTGCTGGACACAGCCTTCCACTCCAAATGTATGTCTTCGAGCTTTTCACCTGAGAGGCTAAGATATAAGATGTCACAGCCAACATATTGAGAACCATAGTAAAAATAGCAGGATGAAAAATGCAACGATTCCAAAGACGAGCTTTTGATGGTGATAATTTGTGACCCATGAACAAGTTCAAGCCATAATTCCTTGAGGCATTTACAGGAACATGAGATCCATTAACAAAATTCCTCGTTGATCGTAAGATTTTTCAACTTCAAGCTTCGGAGAGTGGTGGAACAAGCCAGGGATGGGGTTTTAAGAATGCTAAACTTCAAGTCCACCATTAGTGACTTCAAAGATTGGCAACGAAAGAAGCAGATTGGCAATTCTACTGCTATTATCCTATCATCATGGATATGGAAGTCAAGATCAAGCACTTCAACGTTACACCTTGCAGCATTATGGATCCAAGTGATGACTCGAAAATAATCATCACAGTTGCCTACCAAGTGGCCTGTAAAGACCCAATAAACACGAAAGCGCTGTATATGATTATTCCCGCGTTGGATCAAGAACCTGTCAAAATAATTCAACAACCTCAACCTACCCCACGTAAAATGAGCATAGGGCATTGCGTCGAAATTCAATGATGGAGTTGACAGCTGAAACTGTCTACGTCTATTGGACACACAGCCCACTCGAGCGAGGTCTCTTTGAGTGAGGAAGGATAGAATATGATGAACCATTTCCTCTTGAAGATTACTGAATCTGTCCATTAATCTCTTAGTATTAAAAGCTCCTTGAGCTGGAGAACTAGTATACTTGCAGTTGCCAATGACTTAGTGATGAGTTCCATGATACTGTGGCTCCATTGTTTGTGTAACAGTAACCTTACCTACAAGAAGCAACACATGAAACAAAGTTACGTAAATATATGACATTAACAGCATCGATCCTGCAAGCATTTAGAAAATTTTAGTTGTTTTATATTTTGTATATTTATTTATGTAGAGTATTCATTTTTCAAGCCCAATTCGAAGTTAGCTAGCTGTTGGCCTGATTTCAATCCAAGCCCAATTCTTAATTCCTTAGATTTTTTTTCTCTTCATTTTCTCTCTAACTTTTAATTTTAAAAAAAAATATTGGAAAAACCGAAACTGAAGTGGACAAAATCGAAAAAAACTGAATTGAAACTGTTCGGTTTTCCCTTTTATCAAAATGAACCAAACTCAATAGTAATTTCAGTTTAGTGTTAGATTTTGGCTAAAAACTAAACTAAAATGAACCCAACCAACTCCTAAATTCAATTCTCGCCAAAGGTAAAATCCAACACATTATTATGACTAGTTCCTTTTGAGGCTTTGTCCACTCCCTCACCCCTTAGTGTAGATTATATCATATGTTAAAAAATAGGGAAACTAGTTGATCCGACTCCCTTTCCTTTCTTCCTATATTCCTAAATCCTAAGTTTCCTGATTCTTCTCTCATTGTTCTTGTTGGTTAAACATCTATAGATTATCTAATCTTTTTTAAGTGAAATGGAGAAAGATAAGGCGATGTTAGCTTTTTGGCAATGGTTGTGTGTGTGAGACACTTATCTTTTCTCGAATGGGTAAGCAGTGGCGAAGCCAAGTGAGGGCAAGGAGTGGCGGCCGCCACTCCCCCTCTCCGGAAAACACAGCCCCAACGCTGGTTTAGCCTCTCCCCTCCCGCCGGAAAACCCAGCTCCCTGTCTTTGTTCCTTCAAACTGGTTCTGCTACACAGCAGCAGAGATGAACCATTCTGTTTTGTTTTAAATCCAGGTAACAAAAAAATTTAACTTAAACGAAACGACGTCTTTCGTTTGTTTGAAAGAAAAAAAGTATATATATGGTGGTGGGGGGACCGCGTGTCCCCCATTCAGCCTCTCTTCTCTCTCAGCCTTTCTCAAGGCCAATTACACACAGAGAGCAGCAAAGCTCTCCCCCCCCCCCAAACCCAGCAGCCAACGGACGGAACGGAACGGAGCCATCTCACAGGCTCACTCCAGCCGAGCCGCCGTTTACTTTCACAGTCTCACAGACTCACTTTAGAGAGGGGATGAGGTCACTTGGTACGCAGACGGCGATAAGATTGTGAGGAATGAGTATAATCCAGCTACACCCTATGCATTTGGTAATATATTAGTTAGTATATATTGTTATTTTGAATTTGGAAAAATTTTGATGTGGAGTTAATTTCGATTTCGGTTAGTTTATGGAAAATGCAAAAGAAAATGTGTTGGAATTAATTTGCATTTAACGTAGTTACAGGGGTTTGAAAACTGATTGGATTTGGGGATGGTTTTGTTGTGGCAAATAGAGTTTTTTGGACAACATGCCAATTCGCAAGAGGTGTACGAAGTTGCCGCTAAACCTGTTGTCAAAGCTGCCATGGAAGGTGTCAATGGTATGACATACTTCTCTTGTAGACTACAATGGAGAATTCGTTAATGCCTAATGAGAAACGTTGATATTGTTTCTGTAAGAATGTGTATAATTTATATAATGAAACATCGATGGTGGTGGAAATTCTATTAGCTTTAGTTGAAAACAAATAAATTAAGTTACGTACAATTCTCTTGTTAATTTTCCATTTCTTACGGCTTGAGTATTGAAAATGCAGGTACCATTTTTGCTTATGGTGTGACAAGTAGTGGAAAGACACATACTATGCATCTAAGTTCCACTTGCTTTTCTTGGGATTTTTGCTACTGAAAGTTTAAGCATATCGAAAAATCATGTTGGCTTGTTTGTTCAATAAAGCTTCATTTGTGAGTTGTGCAGAAAAGGTTATAATGACCAATGTTTTACACTCTCTCTTTGATTCCACACTAGGGCACTAGATTTAAGCTTGCCTTCCATGGCCCTGAAAATATTAATATCTAATGATTAGTGAGACACTGCTTTTATGGGGGGGCACAATGGAAGATCAATGGTTGAGTGATAGCATGCTTATTTACATTGAGAAAGATGTATTTGTTTTTATTGATAATGAGCCTATTATGCGACGTTTTCATGACATAAAACATCGCCGGCAACAATTGTAATTTGTTTGTATTGATTAATTATGGAAGACATTACTATATAAAAAGATTTAGTTGTTGCCATTTTTCTTTAACCTTGCATTCTTTTAAGTTCGCCCCTCCCCCCGAGAAATCCTGGCTTCGCCCCTAGGGGTAAGGACCATCACCTAGAAACCCCATGTTCGTCCCTCCCCCACCCTTTTTTTATTAATAATAATAGCACAACAAAATAAAAAAAAAATAAATACACGCGGGGGACGAAACTAAAATCCACAAAGATAGAAAGATCAACAAAAATGATAATAAGGTAAAACGAAATGTCACGAGCATGGGCATAGGCTACAAATGCTAGAATCATAGACCATCATTGATAAGCGTAGGTTTCTTACTTCCCTTTTCCTTACTTCCCATATTCTTAAGTTCCCCGATTTTTTACTTTTTTTCATTCATGTTAAGTAAACATACCATAATCACACAAAGACTTAATAATTCAAGTTTATTCAATTTCAAAGATTGCGGATGAAGTTTTACCGCAATGATGGAAAAACAATCATTCCTAAGTACCCTAGTGCAGGTTCGATCCTCACTGATTTCCCCTCTCTTAACAAATAACTATCTAACTCATCAACCCTGGTTGCTATCGCTATACTAAGAAAATATTTGAAAGACTTATAAGGGTTTTTTACAAACAAATAAAAAAGACTTATAAGAGCAAAAACAAAATAAAAAGAACAAGAAAAGGATTTTGATTGGATCTTCACAAGAAATCGATCATCTGATCTAATCATGTCGGTTTTCAAATGTAGGGATTTAAACCTATAGAAACCAATAAAAATAGATAAGACTGAATTGCATTGCATTTGATTTGTGGGTTT